GGCAAACTAAATCTCTACATGAGTGCTTAGGTACTCACAGTTGTTGCAAGCTGGAATAAGTGTGGAGCCTTGCTTGCCAAGATGCAGATTGGCAAAATGTATGTGTAGGTAATGTGAATGCAGTGGTCCAGTTCTGAACGGTCAGGAAGATTTTTCCCTGTGCCTGTGCATCTGGGCTCTTGTCACTCCATGTTCAGTGTGAGCTGGTTCTCTCTCTTGGTATGTCATCAAAGGTAGGTTGGAATAAAATTGGTTGAATCCAATCAGACATACACACACAGCAGATTTTAACCAGTCCTTGTCAACTTTCATGCAGTGAAAGAGAAGGATGACTGAGGACCTTTATGTTTAATAATGAAAGTTCTAAGGCTTCTTTAGGATCCATTAATAATAAGTTTACATTGCATCATTTATGAAAGATAAGTAGCAAATATCTTTTTATTTTGCAAACATCTTTTCAACTACTTATTTCATATTTTGATGAAATTTGAAATTTTGATTTGAAAATTAAAACTATAGGATTGCTTATCTCTTGTTCTAAATAGAACAGAAAACGGCATGGGGGCTGGAGCGATGGGTCAGTGGTTAAACGTGCTTACTGCTTTTGCAGAGGACCTGGCTTTCCTTCCTAGCATCTATACTGGGCAGCTCGCAGTCACCCAAAACTACAGTTCCAGGGGAATCTGGTGAAATCTCAACTCCAAGAACAAGTTCCCACACATATTTCATATGAACTCACACAAGTGTCCGCACAATAAATACATTAAATAAAATACATTTATTTTTCAAGTTTGCAAGTTTTCTGAAATATTGTCTAGAAACCCTCAATGCCTTTTTAAAAGAACTGTTGAACAGCTTTTTTTTTTATTGAGATTATAATTTAATTACATTTCCTCCCTTCCCTTTCCTCCCTCTAAATTCCTATAAACCCATCTTCACCCTACTTAAAATCCATGGCAGGATTCTACACCAAAAAGGTTCTGTCTTTCTGTTTACATGTGCTATTTTAGAGAGGAATCTGCTTGAAACCTGGGAGGTTTTCCCACCAAATTAACTATGGCCAAAAAATCTTTACAAGTTTGCATGTTTAGAATATCAGAATGTTGATCTTTGAATTATAACAATTGGCTATAAATGGAATATCCGAGGAAGTGAACCAATATACTTTCCATGTGCAACTTTCATGAAACGGAATTGCCCAGCCTTCTGAGGAATGTGGTGACGTTAGGTGAAGATCAATGACAACAGACAGTGTGTTAATAACTCACTGGATTATTTAACTACAGATATGGACTGTCAGTTGATGCAACTGTGAGCAGTGTGGACATCTTAGGTACTAAATACCTTTTTCAGCTAGGACAAATGTGAGTCATGAGGGCTAAAAGGTGGACTATGGCAGTTTTGACTCCCATGGCTGCTGTCACCTGGCATTATACCTGTGGTTGTTGCCCAATGTGGCAGAAGAACTTTACTCATGAAAGGGAAGCTGACTTCAGTATCAGAAGACGATCATAGATTATGTGCATGGATCCAGGACAATCACGAGCTCCTAAAAGCAGCAGAGGAAGAAGAGCTGGGGAAAGTCAGAGAGACCTAATGTGTGAAGAATTGGCATACTGGTTTTGACCTTGGCAGGGATCAGAACCCACTGAGTACAGACAGTTTCCATTGGTGAGAATGAGTACCCTTGCACAGCCACGAGAGAGAGAGAGAGAGAGAGAGAGAGAGAGAGAGAGAGCGCTTCAGTTCTTCAATCTCCTGGGTATGGATTCTACCAATGATCTGAATAATTAGAAGATGTTTCCCAGAGCCCCTCAGTGAAGGTGTCACACTGTGTCACCCTCTCAGACCCTCATCAGGGACTCCAGTTGATCCCATGCCAAATTCTGACCAAGATAATTATTAGCAAATCGATAATGGAGTTTGAAGAATAATGAAGTAAAAATACAGTGAGTGGATCTTGCCTTCTTGCAGCCACTTCCTGTGAAGGAGGAGAAAGGATAACCTAGGAAGTCATACAGTTAATCACAGAAGCATTGATCCGGGGTGTCGCTAGTGTTACTCTTTCCTGTTTACCTCATACCATGTAACAGACACAACTTCCTGAAGGAATGAACCCTTCAACTTTCTTACTGGTTCAAATCTTTGTTCCCTCTCCCTTTCTTGCTGCACTTTTGGTTCTCCTTGAAGGTACATCAACTTTGTATGGTGCGGTAAGCATTCTCGGCCATCCGATCTTTCCTTCTGACAGTGATGGAGAGGACCCAGCACTGTGGTTTGTGGCCCCCCGCTGCCCCCTTTGCTCCCTCTATGGCCTGGCTTCTGTGGGGGTGGGCCGGTTCCAGCAGTGGGCTCAGCTTCCTCTAAGCTCTGGCTGACCTCTTTCTGAGTCTCATTTTTGCTTACACAGTAGATGCAAAACTGTGAAATGAGGCTAGGAGTGTGGCTGATAAGTAGAGTGTTTGCCCAATACCCGTTTATGAAGTTCATTATCCTAACAGGATTCCCTTATGCCCTTAAGGCCTAGGCCTTTCTTACGTCTTTTTGACAGCTCTCTGAATGTTAGGTGTGTCAGTAGATCTGTTTGTAAAGTTTATTACTCCTAGCTAAATTACATTTGAGATGGCCATTTTCATTAAAGGTGTGAGTTAAGTCACTAAAAACTCAGTTTATTTCTCAATTTTATCACATTTGGATGGTCTTATGGGAAATTATCTATCTTTGGAGAAAACAGATCTTCTTTTCATTTTTATTAAAATTGAGTCTCATAGAAAAACCACACAGAGATGTGAATATTTCCAGAACATACGTTATAAAGCACGCAAATGTTAGTGGCTGGGCTAGGATTTGCTTCGTAGCTGTGGGCATCGGTATGCTGAGAAAGCACTGCACCAGAACTGTGGCTAGCTGTCATTCCCGTTTCTTATGACTTGGTAGATAGCTAGATTAGATTTGTTTTTTAAACCTAGAGCAGTGTACTCAGACATACTGAAAAAATAAAAAAGATTCTCATTTTACCTCTGGTTTCATAAAATGAAAATGGAAGCCAGGCAAGCCGATTCAAAACAACTCATGGGCATGGGGATGGAGTGATGGCTCAGAGGTTAAGAGCACTGGAGTGTAGTTCCCAGCACTCACATCAGGAGGCTCATAACCATCTGTAGTTCCTGCTCCAGGGCATCTGACACCTTCTACTGGCCTTTGTAGGTACACACACACCACACACACACACACACACACACACACATACACACACACACACACACCACACACACACACACACACACACATACACACACACACAAACACACACACACACACCACACACACACAAACACACACACACACACACCACACACTACACACACACACACACACACAAACACACACACACACACCACACACAAACACACACACACACAAATTTTAAAAAGGGGTCAAGAGTAACAGAGAGCAATAAACACCACTTTATACTTTTGTTTATTATTCCACATAATGTTTTGTTCTGTTTTGTGTATAGGATTAGAGTATGTTGTTGAGTAGTACAGTATTTAGGGAATCTTTGAGATTCAGAAACTATATAGCTGAAGTTAGCTGTTGAGAACCAGTCTTATGGGAAATTATTTATCTTTGGAGAAAACAGATCTTCTTTTCATTTTTATTAAAATTGAATCTCATAGAAAAACCACATAGAGATGTGAATATTTCCAGAACATACGTTATAAAGCATGCAAATGTTAGTGGCTAAGCTAGCATACTTTTCTCTTATGCAAACCTGTGATTCTTTACCCAGTTTCTGTAATGTATTATTAGTTATTACTAATAATAGTTATTAGTCAACTCTGAGAATCCTGAAGATAATCCAATAAGCATTGCGTAGGACTTTTGCTTGAGGTCCTATATGCTTTCGTGGGGCCAGCCTGGGTGAGAGAACTCTTGTGTTCCCTTATTTAGAGGTGCTTTTAGACAGCAGTGGGACTGGGGGAGTGTCCTGCAGTGACTGTGCTCTCTAGAAGTGACTGGGAGAAAGACCTAGCCTAAAAAGAAACTACTGCTGGATGGGTATAAAGGCAGAGGGCTAAAGTCCTTTTGTGAAACACTGGATTGTGTTACAGAGAAACATTTGAGGAAATAATATGTCATATAGACATTTATTAAACCCCAGATTCCTGTGAAAATTCTGATATAGATTATTTCATCTTTTTTTTTTTTGCCTCTTTGAGCCAAATAACATGTAGAGACAAACTGAAAATTAAATTGCTTCCATATTGAACCTTGCTGTAATATGATAAATCTATTCAGGGGCCCTCCCTTTGCCTCCTTTCTCCCTCTCTCCAACCCTTTATCTCACTTTTTATCTCCTCGTCTCCTTTCCTAACCTTTCTATCATTCACTTCCATTTCTTCCATGGTTTATCACAAGTGAAAGAGTAGGTGGTGGTTCAGAGTTCTCAAAATGTGGAAACAAAATGTCTATCAATGCTTATTAAATCCAGACTTTTACTGTTGAACTGCATTTTGATACTTTACACATAGTTTACAGAAGCCACACCCTCATAGATGTCAGTAAGAATAATCACACCCCCAGATAACTTACTTTGTTTCTCATCCATTCTTGTCCCAAATCCATATGAGTCAAAGTAAATTAAAAGGGAGTCTCTAGTTTAAATGTTGTGTGTGCACCTGGGAATCTGTTAAAGGACCATTCCTGGGCCTCAAACCTGGACTTCTGGTAGAGCAGAGATCGATGGGACCTAATCATCATAGTTATTCACCTACTCCCAGTTTACTGCAATGCTGTGACTTGAGCTGAATTTGTTTTAAACACCCGTGTCACTGGGTCATTGAAGCAACTGGCCTGAAACTGAGAGAATAGTAACTATGGAGTTGGATCTAGTGGGTCTTCAAAGTGGAGGCCAGGCTTGCGGAAAAGACTGTCAATCATTCAAAAAAACCCAGTAACAACAACAACAACAACAAAAAACCTCTCCTCTTTTACAGAAGCAAATCCAGAGAAATTTAATAGTCGTTTTCGAAATAAAATGTTCTATGCAGGGGTAAGTATTATTTCATTTCATGACTGAGATTAATATTATTAATATTATTTAATGATAATTCAGTAAACATTAAAGAAATCAACTCCAATCAAAACTAGTACTGCTTGTTGCTGTTTAATTTCTTGAGTTCTTTATATATTCTGGATATTAGCCCTCTGTCAGATATTGGGTTGGTGAAGATCCTTTCCCAAATCTGTAGGCAGTCTTTTTGTTCTGACGACACTGTCCTTTGCTTTACAGACGCTTTTCAGTTTCATGACGTCCCATTTATAGATTCTTGCTTTTAGAGCCTGTGCTGTTGGTGTTCTGTTCAGAAAGGCTCTACCCTTCAGGGTATTGGCGCAGATGCTGAGACTTATAGCCACACTTTGGGCAGAGTGCAGGGAATCTTATGAAAGAAGGGGGAGATGGTAAGACTTGGAGAGAACAGGAGCTCCACAAGGAGAGCAACAGAACCAAAAAATCTGGGCACAGGGGTCTTTTCTGAGACTGATACTCCAACCAAGTACCATGCATGGAGATAACCTAGAATCCCTGCACAGATGTAGCCTATGGCAGTTCAGTGTCCAAGTGGGTTCTATAGTAATGGGAACAGGGACTGTCTCTGACATGAACTGATTGGCCTGCTCTTTGATCACCTCCCCCTGATGAGGGAGCAGCCTTACCAGGCCACAGAGGAAGTCAATACAGCCACTCCTGATGAGACCTGATAGACTAGGATCAGAAGGAAGGAGAGGAGGACCTCCCTATCAGTGGACTTGGGTGGAGAAGGGGGAAGAAGGGTGAGGTTCAGAGGGGAGGAGGGAGGAAGCTACAGGGGGAGGATACAAAGTGAATAAACTATAATTAATAAAAATAATATATATATATAAAAGGAAAAAACCAAAAAACAAAACTAGTACTGCATACCTAAATATATTCCAACTATGTTTATGTAAAATTACTGTTTAAAATATTCACTGAGGAAGAGCGGGGATGCTTTCTAATTGAGTGGTCAGCAAAGCAGTTGGGTTTGGCTATATTTAAAATTGAAGCCTTACAAGAGTCAGTGACTTTTCAGAGAGTGGTGCAAACAGACGTCAAAGAAGGAATTGGGAAGAGTAGTTAGATGGAAAAAATATAAATGTTTTAGTTTTGTTTCTTGTTTCTGTGCTAAAACAGCCTGATGAATGCAATTTAAGAAAGAAAGGGTCTCCTTGCCTCACAATCCCAGGTTACATTCTGTCTTTTGGGGGAAGTCATGGTGGTAAGAACTTAAAGTAGCCAGTCACAGTACATCTGCAGGCAAGAGCAGAGAGCAAGGAATGAATGCCCACATGCTACTGCTTACACTGATTTCTCTACTCCTTTTTCATCCAGAATCCCCTGCCCAGGGAGGAGGTGCTACTCACAATGAGCCTGTCTTCCCAGTAATACACATACACACAGGCCAGCTTAATCTAGACAATCCCAGACCGAAACTCCTTTCTCAGGTGATCACAGCCTGTGTTAAATTGGTAGATAATCCTACCCAATCACAGACGATCTTAGCTCAGGTGTAGTTTTTAACAGGGTGTGTACTCAGTGATCTTGGATGACAAGTTGGTAGAACATGAAGATACCTATGAAACCAAAGTGGGGACCTTTCGTTACTCTTCTTGGAGTGACTTTGGCATTGGGTGAATAGGTAGGATTTTCACAGGGGACTTTCAGAACAGATCTGTCAAGTGCCTCTGGGAGCCACTCACTTTTTCACCCTAGGAGGGTGAAATCTTAAATTTTATTATAGATTTAATAGTCCGAAAACAGAGGGTTTTTCACATGGCAGACACTGCCCTGTTTTCCTTGGGTTCAACCAAAGGAAAATTTGTTTTATATTTTTTAATAGTATGGAATCTTAAAATGTCTATCCTGTTGAAGCAAGAATTTGGTGGAAACCATGTAACAAAGTATTCTTTTCTTCTTTGCCTTTTGGTGTAGGCAGCCTTTTCTGATTTCCTACAAAGAAGTTCTAGAGATCTGTCCAAACACGTCAAAGTTGTTGTGAGTATTGACTCTATAGGCTCATTTTATTTGCATGAGAATATGAATGTCACATCAATGCCAGTTGATACATGGATTAATCCCTGCACTGCATGTAGTTTACAAATCATGTAAGGCAGCTCATCAGCCACATATGCACATTCTCAGCACATATTAGTCTCTGTCTTAGTTGCTGGAGTGAAATAAAACTAGTGTTACTCCTGAAGAAACCATGGGCAAGGACAGACATAATTATTGTATATACATCAACCGTTATTCAGTCTTACACACAGGATACTGCTGGCACAGGAAGTGGCAGCAGAATGGTCGTTCTCCTCAGGATAGGATTTGGAAGATCTTCCTGGAAGAAGTGCTGTGAGTTGGCTCTTACAGTATAAACAGATGTGTAGCTAACAGTTGTTCCTAAGTTAACTCATCTTTCTGATGAGTCTCCATTTTATAACAATACACTTGTTATTATTTCATCCTGACTTTGCTTTCCGGCCTGGTCAAGTCTCCTCACATTGAATGGATGTTTCCTGCTGTTTTGTTCTAAGTCTCTAACCCAGGTTATGTGTCTACTGGAGGCAAAAGAAAGAGAAACTTATCTTTGTCTAGTTGGTACATTCTAATAACATAAATTAATTAAGAAAAACAAGTTGTTTCTTATAATAAATGAGATTATGAAGAGATGATGATAGCTTTTATTTGCATGAGGCTGAGTGATAATACACATATAGAGAAATATAGCAATGTCTCTATTATCATGAGGCAGGTATAGAAATTTAGTAAGAGAACAATGTGTGTGTGCATGCCTGCACTTATATATGTACATATATATGAAAATAGAGAAAATACATGATACTAAGTTACTGAGATTTAGGAGAATGAGATAGTTAAAATGAAAAGCAGTGTTTAGCACTTAAGAGGCATTCCTATTTATGATATCCACATTTATGTAACAGACTGAGCTGTAGTTGCTGCTAAAGTGTCTTTGTTTATTTGTAGTTGGTTGAGACAGTGTCTCTTGTACTCCATTCTATTCTTGAACTTTCTATTTAGTCAAAATGGCCTTGAACACTTTGTTTCTCCACTTCCCATGGGCTGGAATTATATTCCAGTACTACCAAGTCCAAGAAAAGGGTTAAAAACCACATAGCTACTTTTATATTATAGAAAATTAAGGGAAACGATCATTGAAAATAAAATAAGTAAGGCTCATAATAGAATGATATTTTGTGGGGCACTGATAATGTTTACAGTGTTAATTACCTAGTGCATATAATACTAATGTAGTAGAAATTATTTACTCATTCTTATAGGATGAAAGGTTCTTTTTAAAATGTTAAGCTTGGCACAGTAGCTTTGTCAGTTGTCCCAGATATTTGGAAGGCAGAGATGGAAGGGATGTAAATTCAAAGCCACCAGCCAGCCTGGACAGCTTGGGGCAAACCTGTCTCACCAAGGGAAAAAGAGGGAAAAGTATTGAAATCCAATAGGCAAACATTTGCAAAGCTGCTATTGCTGCTCTAACAGCATTAATGTGTGCCCTGCTTTGAATCTTTTACTAATTTTTACTCTAGAGTTTCTATGTCTTTTCATTGTAGCCTTAACCTTTCATTGTACTCAATTTCAATTGCTTATTGCAAAAACAAAATCTCTAACCTGTAGCAAAATGCATGAAAAATGAACCCCGTAAATCAATTGGGACAAGAGTTAAGTATTGCTGCTATTAGCCAGCCTTGGCATCCCTTCAGGCCCTGGCTCGCATACAGTGCAACATTGTTGCTTCTGGCTCTGTGGAGAGGCATAGCCTCCTGGGGGAAGGGTTTGGAGGAGCAGAGCTGCTCACTCATGGTGGCCCAGAGAGAGGATGGGAAGAAAAAAGAAAGGGAAAGAAAGAATGGCAGAAGGGAGAGAGAGAGTGGTTGATGAACGACTGAGCAGAACAAGATCACCCTTCTTGGCACGCCCTGAGTGAATGACTTCTAAGTAGGCGGCACCTCCTAAGATCATTCAGTATGAACTCATGAACTTGTGTATCATGTTCATGATACATTCACACGTCAGTGATTCCACTAGCATGGGACCAACGTTTTAACACATGAGCCTTTTGAGGAGTGCTTTACAGACTAACTACATCAGGTGTGCATAAAATAGACAATATTATTTTTGTCACAGGTAAAGTCAGTATCTTGGATGTAATATTGAAGTCAGATAGTTATAAAATGTGCATATGAATTCTAGACCAAGAAACACAAAGCACGAAGAAAACATTGCATCTAGCACAATTTACTGTCCATTGTTTGATTTATCAGTACATAAGCCTACATACAGAACTGTATTTTGCAAGCATATATTTTCTCTTTGTGTCTGAATTAGGGAAAACACTGGTTGCTGCTGTTCTAGAGAACTGTACGTTTTAATGCAATTCTATGTAAAAATAGTGAGATACTATACATTCTATAGTATATACAACTTTAAAAATTTTGATGAGATACAATAATCACTGACATATTTCCCAGGGGAAACAAGGCTACAACATTTAAAAGTCAGTTTGATTTCAAGTTCAGCAGTATTTTCTGTAATGTATCAACAGAGTATAGCAGTCAATTTTTTTTTTTTTCACTCTTGAACTTTGATCACTTAAATAAAATGACTGCTTTCTTCATGGGCATACTCATCCATGGATCTGCTTGAAGCCCTTGAATGATTTGGAAGATTTTAGGTCACTATCTAAAACTTGATTTCTATCTAAGCTGCTTTTTGGAAATATTTTATTTGGGACAATATTGTTTCCTGGAAATTGTTTTTGAGACCACTTGTGAACATTGGGGTGTAGTTATATCAGGTGGGGAAAGAAAGTGGTTCTTTGAAGCACCCTTGACTGCTTGTAAAATCAGTGTGCTTAGACTGAACCGCTTCTGAAAGACATTTATACAAAACCACAGTGAGTTTTGTAATGCTTCTGAAGGAGAAGAAGAATGGACTTCCGGGACGTGAGGCCAAGGGGGGGAAAAGCAAACTGAAAAGCCAGCCTTACACATGGCACTCTTTCACTCTGACTAGACCTCTCTTCTGGATTTTATCACCAGTTGAGAGGGAATGGAGACATTTTTTTGTGACAGGCTGAAGGACAGTACTCATGGGGAGAACATTAGGTGATAAAGGAAGCCATGTATTAGGTGGAATAATCTAGGAGCTCTTGAGACCAAGGTTATGTCCAAACTCCAACAGTCCAATCACAGAAAGTGCCATCTAGTTCATAACACTTGTCGCTGCTATTTTGTCTTCTTAATCAGGTATGAATGTACACACTATAAACTATTACTTCTAGAACACTGGCTTCACCCTATGGCAAAGAAAAGAGGATCTGTTACAGGTGATACAAATTTAGAGCAGACCTCTTTAAAACTTTCAGAGAATGTATTCAAAACATGTTTCTTAGTTTCAAAATAAACATTATCCCAGATAGGAAAAAAAAAATGGCCATGTTCACGCCTTGTTTGTATTAACTGATTACAGTGGGGAATGCTGCTAGCTTCACTGAGATGTCATCTTTGAAGAGTGTGTGGGCTTTAAATGTTAGCACCATATGTCTAAATATCTAATAATAGTTGAAGGCAATGGATTGCTTTGAATATAGAACAGAGAAAAATTGTTTTTAGTCAAATGGAAGTTTTATTTTGTATTAAATCAGAACAAAATTAAAGTTCAGCCTTGGCTCTTCTCCAGTCAGACTCAGCATAAATTTCAGTGGTAGTAACTGGCAACCACTCGGGGGGAAGGGAGAGATTTCCATGCTCTGTGCTGTTATTGACCCAGTTGGATGAGACTCTCAGACTCATGACTACTTCAGAAGCCTTGCTTTCTCTGCTTTGGTTGCTGCAGTGTGATGGAACAGATCTCACCCCAAAGATTCAGGACCTGAAGTTCCAGTGTATAGTATTTTTAAATATTCCCAGGTAAGCCCTATTCATACTGTGGCCTTTGCTTGATGTAAACTCTGAATGATATCTGATTTCAGAAGTGAAACACCTCAGGGATAGTCCTTGAAATCCCTCATTTTAATGTCCTGGTAAGGGTTCCATGTCTGCTAATTTTCTTCTCCTGTTTGGCTTGTTTCCCGTGGTAGCTGGTTTTGCCTGTGATGCAGAATTCATTATCTGCATTCTCCTAGCCTTGGGAGACTCAAAGCCCTTTCTCGAATATTTTCATTTAATTCTCGTTACTGCCCCACACCCACCCTCTAGCCTCAAGGAAAGACAGATGTGCATAGAATCCTACTTTCAGTTTCTCAAAAGCTGTTAGGAACACATAGCTGATGAGTATGGATTTCTCTGCCAGATGCTAGAATCCATCAGTGAAGCAGGGCTTCACTGCTCTCTGGTGCTATAATGCACCAGGAGAAAGGAACACTTAGGATTGACTATTTTTTTTTTAAAGATAAGTTTATCACTTCAGTGGCACAAAATTCAGTTCCAGGTTCCTAAGCCCAGACGCTGGAAGAGTAAGGCCTGTAGTCCCTCATTGCTTGCTACCAATCAACTCAGACTACAATCTGCAAATCAACTGACCTTGGTTGAATTTACGGAAAACTAGAGCTCTATAGAAATGTGTGTCTAGGAAAACCTATCAAGGTTTTCAGTTTGCTCTTGAAGTGCTCAGAACACTCAATTCCAACCCTGTTTCAGGAGCATGGGTCAGCATGGGTTTAGCAGAAGGCTTACAGATTTGTAGGAAACACTGGCCCATAGTGCCAACTATAGCATTGTCCTCTTTACTCTTGACACTCTTCCCTTACGTGTCTGCTTCTCTGACTTTCTAATTTTATTTATTCCTTTTCCTTTCTCATCTCACTCCTCTCTTCTCCCCTGCCATCCACCTTCTCTCCCTCCCTCCCTTCCTTCTTTTCTTTTGAGAGAGGATCTCTCTATATAATTCACAATTCTTCTGCCTTACCCTCTTCTCTACTGGAAGAGTAGGCATACATCACCACACCTAACATATTTTATTTCTTCTCTCTTATTTATTTATTTAAAGTGATTTTCATTCATTCTTTTCTTATAGGAATTTCTTGAATTATTTTCTATATAATGGTAAATGCTGTCATCTTAGTTTATGTTCTTATTTACACTAGCATGGATTTGTCTTCATTTAAGAGAATTATTAAATTGTTAAAGAAAAATCATAATATATTGTAGAGAATATGAACTCAAGAGTGAGAAATGAGGGACAGATGGGTACCACAGGATGCTTTTGATGTTAAATTATGAGTTTCTGTTGCTGTTGTTGTTTTGTTTGCAAGGCTGTGATACCTTGGAGATAGTAACTTCATTTTTTTATACTTGAGGTTCACATTGAGAGCAGCAACTATTCTTACATTTAATAAACATCAATTCCCACTAGAAATTATTTTTAAAGGTTTATTTATAAACCGACACATAAAAGCAAAAAAACTCCTGTGTGCATGTATACCTTAACCCTAATTTATTTACTAATGCTAATCAGGAGAAGAATGAAGTATCTTTAACTGTTTTTTAACCTTGTTTGCAGATATTGTGCTGGCACAATGCCTTGGGGAAACCCTGGAGATCACCATGACTTTGAACCCCAGCGTCATGATGATGGCTACATTGAAGTAATTGGGTTCACCATGGCCTCTTTGGTGAGAATTGTTTCAATTTTATTGAAAAGCCTTGTGTGTGAGCCAGTAATAGACTTTAACCTCTCACAGAGGAAAAATCAGCTTTCTCCAACAGAGTCTGACTTGGTAAACAAACTACACTCAAGGGCAGGGTCCAGCAGTAGATGCCAACACAAAACCAACTCAATAGTACTTTGTTGGGGCAGGGGTGTTGTTTCATAATGCTTTGTCTGGGCATTTTGGTTTTTACCTTACAGGTCTTACATATTATTTTTTTCCAATTTGTGTTTTTATGGGATTTCTCTGTATGACTGTGTGTGCCTCTGTGTCTGTGTTTGTTTCGTGTGCTTTTTCTTTGACTTTTTTTCTGTTTGTTTTGTCCTATTCTATTTATTTCATTTTAGTTTTTAGTTTTTTTAGATGTCTGTTTTCTGAGACACAGAAAGAAGGGGTGTGGATTTGGGTGGGTGGGGAGGATCTGGGAGGTAGCAGAAACTGTGATCAGAATATATTGTATGAAAACAACTATTTTCAATAAAAAAAAGTTTTTTTTTTTTCTCTTGATTTACCAACTTATAAACTCTACTAGTACAGAAATGCTTAAGGATGAACAGGCATATGTTGTTAAGTCTGAAAACCTATTCATATTCATTTGAGCTGCAAAAATAAATCAATTTTATTTGTTTTTTTTTTTTACTTTCTAGGAAATAAAATATTGCATGCTTATAAAGCCATCTTGGCACAGAGATAGTACAGCATTAACACGCACACTCAAATAGTCCTCATGTGTTTTTTCTCACAAAGAGTGAAAACTGAATGAGTAGTTACCATATCCCACAGGTTCATCATGCTACCTGTGAGGCAGAAGGGATCAAGAATTGTCTGAGTGATGATAATCTTTCACTAGGGCCTAAGTGGCCAAATGGTTGTTCCATACTTCCTCACTGTGCTCAAGATCAAGGTTTAGACCCTTAGCTGGTGTATTTGTTACTATCGCTGTGTTAAAACACCATGACCAAGAGCAATGTAAGAAAGAAATAGTTTATTTTGGATAATGGTTCCTGAGTGATAGAGTCCATCAAGGCAAGGAAGGCACAGCATGGCATTGGGAGCAAGAAGCTGGCCGATGACATTTTTATCCATACACAGGAAACAGAAAGAGGAAACGGGAAGTAGGACAGAGATACAAACCCTCAAGGACACCCTCCTCCCCTCCCCCCCAGTGACTCGCTTCTACAAGCACAGCTCTGCCTTTTAAAGATTTCATAAATTGAGGCATCTCGTGTTTGGTCATGCGAGAAGTTCATTGGCAGGTACAGCCAATGAACTTGTCTATGGAGGATCTGGGTAGAAGCTTGGAAAAGTGGCACAACAACCCAGGAGTTTCTCCTTCATTTAACTATATTCACTACTCATGGCGTTTATCTCTCCATCTTACATGGAATACCTGATCTCCTTATTTCTATGGATTTCCCTGTTCTAGACAATTCATAAAATAGTATTATATATTGTTGTACTTTCTGATTGCCTTCTTGCACTTAGTATATGTGTCTGCTTTATCCAAACTTTAGAATGAGCCTGTGCTTCATTCCTTTTTAGGGCTAAATAGTATTCTGAAGAAGGGATATAGCACATCTTGTTTCTCCATTCAGCAGTTAATACATGCCTGCTAACTTTACACAAAATGAACCACATTTTTGGTGTTTTTTTTTTTTATTTGTTCTGTTTTGGCATTCTTTATTTTATTGTTTCTTTTTCTTTGTTTTTTTTTTTTTGATTGCTTTTGTTTTGTTGTTTTGCTTCATTTCAAGAAAGAACTTAAAGTTGAATGGATAAAAAGGTGGAAAAGATTTCAGAGGAGTTGGGAGTGAAGTGATGAAAATAATGTATTTAAAATATTTTAATAAAAATATGAAACAAGTATGTTGTTACTTATGAATAATGTTCTAATAAAGAGACATATTTATTAGAAACAAAAAAAAAAGATTTCATAAATTTCCCAAACTGTTCGACCAACTGTGGACCAAGTGCTAAAATTACCAAGTCTATGGGGGGGGGGGCATTTAAACCACTGCATCTGGTCGATAGAGTCATAGTTTCCTATTTGGTTCTCCAGCACTGTTCCCTTCCTTTCCTGCTTCCTGGCTCAAGAACTCTTTAATCAAACATAGCTTTGGACATGCTTTGTCCCTTTTGCAACACTAAGCCATTACATGTGCTGACTTTCTTTATAGTGTCTTTGGCTAGTTATCTTCTGCTTTATCTGCATCAGGATCTTTTCATAATTTTTTTAGTGGTTTTATTTACAGTTGTATAATTAATGTCTGAATAAGAGAGATGCAGCTCATGGAAACTGAATAGTTAGCCGGGAGTTTAATGGTAGTACTCTACTCATGTTGTTCCTTGGTTTACCCAGAGGTGAAAATGCAATGTCAAATAAGCATCATTTATAACACAGAGTACTAGGGAAAGGTAAGTCTTGTAGATACCAACTTGCTAAGTTGGTAGGAAAAGGACCCTGTTACAAGGACAATGCCTTTGCCACAGTCATTGGATTGTCTCCCTTGGTCCTCCAGTGGCCGAAGATAGGGAGCCACAGACACAATCCAGATGTATCAGCTTGATAGGGCAGAAGGGAGAATGGGGAGAATAGAGGGGCAGGTAGGAGTGCCAAATGGTACAGTTCCACTTGTGTAATGTGCCAAGTCTAACCTGTGTGCTACAGAGCACTTCATGCTTCCACCTGCTTAAATTCAGCTTACCAAATGAGCAGAGTTCAGCATTCTTGAAAAAGGAAAATTTCTAAACGTGAGAAGCATTTCAGAAGTGAACAACAGTGGTCACCACTAATTGGTAGCAATTTTTAAAATTCAAGGTAATACTTAAAACGTGTCTGTTTCCATTCAGTATCAGTTACAAGTATTAGTGAGGGCTAGAGAGATAGCTTAGGGGTTAATTGCACTGTCTGCTCTTCCAAAGGTCCTGAGTTCAATTCCAAGCAACCACATGGTGGCTTACAGCCATCTCTAATGAGATCTAGTGCCCTCATCTTGCATGCAGGTGTACATGCAGACAGAATACTGGATGTATGTGTAAGTAATTTATAAAAAAATTTTAGAAATAAGTATTACTGAATTCAGAAATGGTATGCCCATAATTAACAGGCTAGCAGGTAAAAATGATTAAGGAATGAGGCAAATGAGATGCCCTGTCTTTGTGGTCACAGCCCCATGATGGAAAGTAGACCAAGAGTAAAATGATAAATTCCAGGAGAGGGCTGGGAGAGACTAGAAAAGAGCGCTGAAAGCAAGGGTGCCTGCTAGGTGGTGCTCTCAGCAAAGACTCCCAGAGGAGGGAGGGGTCTCTAGAGTGCAGTGGTCTATCAGAGCAGCCAGCCTGTGCGCATGTCCTTGCAGAGCTACAAGTGGTGGCTTCAGTGACTGGACAGTTAATAAAACTGAAGTCAAAGACAGAGGTCAGGCAGAAACGGCCCTTTATGCTGTTGTTCGGGGTGATGTTGCAAAAGGGTTGGGCATGATCAGACTTGTGCCTGGAATCCCATCTGAGCTGACCAGAATCTCTACCCCTGGGGCTTATTAGACAAATCACCATATTGGCATCAGCATCCATGTGGATGAGTGTGTCGTAAGTGTGAAGGAAGAAGATGAAAGGGACTGGGGCATCCCAGAGGTATTTGGACAGTGACACACTGTGAAAGACAGAACACTAATGAATCCTGGGAGGCGACTGGGAGCAATTGGTCAAAGGATGAATTCATTAAATAAGGTAGAAAGTGTAAAGCAGAGAGAGCATTGCAAAGGAACTGAGCTCTGAAATCTGTGTAAGCAGTCAGTGTGCTTAAAAATGGACAATTGAAAATGTGTTACTGGAAGTCAGGAAGTCTCTGTAGGGTAGAGACAGGGCGTTGGAGGGCCTGTTAAGTCCTCTCTCCCATCTTGTGCCTAGAGGGTGAAGAAGGGAGAAAATTAATATATGGAATTTGATGGAGAGGAAATGCAATCCTAAAGTCATGCCAATTATAATTCCCTCTTTGGACAGCATGAACAGTACAAAGTCAGATGGGATACTGTCAAATGTGTGACAGAATCTCCAATTCGAGTGACTGCAGTTGCTTCCAAGGCAGAAAATCCTAGCTTAGAAAAACACTTAAAACTCTGCTCTGCTGTTCAATCTACAGTTCAAAGCTGTATGCTTTTGAACATCGTGTGTTCTCTAAATAACCCAGGAGCACATTTCTAAATGGTCACATACCTCTGTCACTCATCCAATGGTATAGCATTGTGTTTTCTTTTTCATTTACTTTGAAAGGATTTTATGTTTAGTTCTCCAGTTTTCAATTCATTGATGCTCTTCTATTGATTATAATTCCAAGAAGGTAAATTATATAAAATTATAAGCATGTGTTTAGGATGGCTGTCTAAACAGAATGGTATAAGTACTTGAAGGTACTCTTTTTAAATATATACTTAAAAATGCTTCCATATAATTTAAAACCTTAACTAGTAAGTGAAGTTCTTTTGCAGCAAATTATTTTTTTCTTAGAAATTGACATGTCTGAAGTCACTAAAGCCTACATATTTTAAAAAGTTTTGCAATAAACCAATACATATTTTTTTGTACATTGCTTATAATTTAAGTCCACCCAAGGAACAGGAAACTTGGACTGTTTGGAAAGAGATTTTAAAGTATTGGAATAGTAAAAAAAGAAAAACCTATTCCTTTTAGAATGTTTATCTTGTAATTGCAAACTTCAAAGTGAAGTCTTCAGTTGACTCCATTGGTTTTGATGCATTCCTGCTAATTAAGATGATTTCTCAATTGGTGTCTCGATTGCTTTCTGGGTCTTACAGAGCCCATAATCATTGTAATTTGTATTTGTTTCTGCCACAATTTTTTGTTATTATGGTTGGGAAGGGCCTTTCATGCTGAGACTGTTTCTAAGTAATTTAAAACTTTTCAAGGCAGTTCAAAGCACGATTCATATGGAGAAAACAGGACCC